GGCTTACAAGGTTTCAAGAGGGAGTTTAGTTTAAGAGTATGGGGGGAAAGAAAGAGTTCCCAGTGAATAGCTTTCATTTTGTTTAGATGGGTCTGGTGAAAAGAGATGGGGATATGATTCGTAAGATTCAATAGTGATTAATTGTTATCATGACTAATCGCAAATGTCACAATTGTAAAGGTAGAAGTTTTGTAACAAAAAAAGTGGAGTGGTTAATCTTACAGTCCAGAAACAGAGAATCCTAGCACCAAGAGAGAAATGCACAAGCAGAATGGGGGACCTTATCCAGAGAAGCACCAGAGTTGGAGGCAGAGATGGGGGCATGGAGAAAGGGAGTGGCTGAGGAATCTAGATTCATGGACTAAGAAGAGAGGGACTAAGAGCTGGTGGCCAGGAGCAGGTTTGTAGAACGTGCCCTTGGGAGATGTAAATTATTACATATGCCTGAGTAGTTTTGTTTGTTTGTTTGTTTGTTTGTTTGTTTTTAAAAAAGCTAAAGTGGATAGAGAGAAATACTGTTAACTGATGGTACATGGAGGGGATTATAATCATTGTAATGAAAGAAAGTATATGATTTATTGAATGTAAAACTGATGATATGCCCTGAAAACTTTCAATTCACAATAAAAAGCTTTAAAAAAATTTTTTTAAAGAGCTATTATAAATCTTCTAAATATGTTTATGAATATAAAGTAAAACAGGAATACAATGCAACGGAAAATGGAAGATATAACAAATTAAACTTTTATAGATGAAAAATACAATATCTGAATTGAAAACGACACTGGTTAAGATTAACAGATTATTGTTATTAAGTGCTGTCAAGTTAGTTCCAACTCACAGTGATCCTATATAGGGTTTCTGAGGAGCTGCTGGTGGGCTTCAATCATCAACCTTGTGGTTAGAAGTCCAGTGCTTATCCTATAGCACCACACCAGGACTCTAAAACAGATTAGACAGTGTGTTAGAAAAAAAAAAAAGTCCGTGAACTTAAAGATATGGTAGTAGAAACAGCCCTGATGAAAACACAAAGAGAGAAAAATAGATAAAAGCTTTAAAAACTTGAACAGAGACTGACATGTGGGACAGTATCGTACAGTCCTAACATACATGTGTTTTAGAGTTGCAGAGAACAAAAAGGTGTGAGTTAGAAAAATAATTGGAATAATGGCTAAAAATGAAACATAATTTAATTTTTGAATGCAATAGATAATAGAAGGTACTTAAGGGATGGTACAAAAGGTACTTAAAGGATGACACCCAGGTTTCCAGGTTGTTGTTAAGTGCTGATTCATAGTGACGCTGCATAGAGTTTTCGAGCAGTGGCTGGTGAGTTTGAACTGTCGACCTTGTGATTCAAACTGACCACACGGTCCAGTGCTTACCCTAAAATGCCGTATCAGGGTGCATAGTAGTATTTTTCAGGATAGTGAATGACAGTAAGATTAAAGCAGGTCTTGGAGGTGATGGGTGAGTGGAGAAAAACTTTCAGTTCTAGACATATTTCAACTTAGGGGGAAAGACAAAAACCACTGCCAGCAAGTTGATGCTGACTCATAGTGACCTGTGAGGCAGGGAGAACTGCCCCATAGGGGTTCCAAGGCTGGAACTTTTACAGAAGCAGGCTGTCACATCTTTCTCCCACTGAGCAACTGGTGGGTTCACACTGTAGACCTTTTTTGGTTAGCAGCTGAGCTGTTTTAACCACTCCACCACCAGGACTGTGAGAAGACAAATTAAATAAGATTGGATCTTGGCTTGTCATCTGCAACCGTAAAGGGCTGGTCCAGATCACAAGGCAACCTAGTAAAGAAGCCATGAATAAACTCCAGGATATAAAATGTAAAACTTCGTGGGGTGAAATATATGTATTTCTCTAAACAGGATCACAGCGTTCCCAGTATTTTTTAAGAGTCTGTGAAGCACATGAAATGGGATTACAGTACCAGATTTCTAAAATGAAGGAGGAAATTCTTAAACTTCTCAACATCCTAGGCTTTTTCCATCTGTTATTTTGTTGTTAAGTGCTGTCCAGTCAGTTCCAACTCATAGCGACCCTGTATAGGGCTTCTGAGAAGCAGCTGGTAAGTTTGAACAGCTGACTTTGGGTTTCAAACCAACCTTAAGGTCCTGTTTGTCCTACAGTGCCACACCAGATCTAATAATGTGTCTACAGGGCAGCTCCAACTTTTCTCCTTCCTGGATCAAGTAACTAAAAAAACTGAAACTGTCACTTAACAGTTGTGGGTAACAATTTCTGAACACGTTTTGTGCACAATACCACCATTCATTCATATCATTTCATTTTCACAATAATTCCAAGGCAATATCAAATCTTGTCCGAAGTCTCAAATGGCGGCACTGGTATTTGAACTCAAAAGTGGCCTTATACCAAGCCTAACCCTTTTGATTATCACATCTACTCTGTCCATCAAATTCTATAAACCAAAACCAGTTGCCTTCTAGCCCACTCTTGACACAGGGCCGCCCCATGGATGCCAGGACAGAATTGCGTTCCATAGGTTTTCAAGGACTGGTATTTTCAGAAGCAGGTGACCAGAGCTTTCTTTGGAGGGGCATCTGAATGTATTTGAACTTTCGATCTTTTGGTTAGCAGCTCAGAGCTTAAAATTTCATCTTATCTGAGAGTTATCAAGCAGCAAGAATCCATCATCGTTGGGAAGGACGGAAAATCCAAGCCACGCAAAGCTTAAATTGTCATTGCTATATTTTAACCTAACAAGTTGGGGGACAACTGCAGCTTTAGCGCTCTGGGGAAATGGTTTACGCAGCGAAAGTGGATTTTTACTTCAGTCTCCTGAAAACCCTGTGAGCGATTTTATTAATGGGACCCTTGTTTCTTCCTGCCCACTTCAAACATGGCCGACAAGCTCTAGTTCCTTTTCGCATCGGATCCACCACGATCGTTCCAGCTTCAATCCCATTTCCAAAAGGGCCTCTTCCCGTGGGTTTTTGCGGTTCTGCGTGCGCATGCGCGAGTGCTTTTCCGGACAAAATGGCGATGGGGCTAATGTGTGGGCGCCGGGAGCTTCAGCTCCTGCTAAGGTTTCAACGTAAGGTAGGATGCCCCGGGCTGAGTGCCAGATTCAATCTTCTTCCAATGGTCCGACCTCAAAGACAAGTAGTACTTGGATCATGAACAGACGCTGACCTGCTCACCTACCCTGTGTCATATGACCTCGAGTCAACAAGAAACATGGGAGGGTTAGTCCCGGCAGCGCGGGCTCAGCGGCTGGGTATCTTTTAGCTGTTCCTGGGGTCCGGTTTGGCACCGCAACCTCATCCACGAAGGCCCAGTTGGGTCTAGGGTAACTGAGATACGGGAGACCTGGGCCCGAGCGCTTCTTCTGCACACACCAGTTGCATGCCTTTGCGCTGAGTCCTCCCTTAAATTTGTTACTTGCTTCGTGGGAAATGAGCATAGGTCGCTATGGGTCGTAACGGACTCCACGGCCCATAACCACCACCACCACCACCCCACGCTGGGACTTCTGCTCTCGATAAATAGGTGCTTCATCCTTTTACCCACTTAGTTCCACAGCGTCTCAGGGCCCTGGTACTCGCCCCGAAAACCGCTGACCGCCGCAAGGCTCCTGTTTCCAGCCGGCCAGAGCTGCGGGCGCCCACACTACGTCTTCCTCAAGGTCGGACCCCGCTGCATCAGTACCTCTGCCATCTCGTTTGCAGAAGCCCAGGTAAGAAGTGTTTCATCCCTGCAGCGTTAAAAAGGATGTTTGTTTGGTTGTTGTGTTTTGTTTTGTGTTTTTTTTTGGGGGGGGGGGGGCTGGTAAGGGTAGTGGGGGCTTCGTGGTGTGGATCAGCACTGGACTGCAGACCACAAGGTCAGTGGTTCAAACCCACCAGCTGCTCTTTGGAAACCGTGTACATGGTCACCATGAGTCGGAACCGACCCAGCATCACTTAACAACACCAACAAGGGTAATGTGGAGTCCTACCCCTGGAGAGGAGTCCTGGTGTTATGTTGTGGGATAAAGTCTTGAACCACAAGGTCGGTTTGAACTACAGGGTCGGTGGTTCAAATTCCCCAGCCACTCCTTGGAGACTCTATACAGGGTTGCTATGAATCAGAATCAACAAGGGTAATTTTGTTGTTATTAGGTGCCATCAAGTCGGTACCGACTCATAGCAACCTTATGCACAGCAGAACGAAACACTGCCTGATCCTGGGCCAACCTCATTACTGTTGCCACACTTGAGTCCATTGATGCTGCCATTTGGCTAGTCCATCTCGTTAGGGGTCTTCCTCTTTTTCTCTGACCTTCCACCTTACCAAACCTGATAGCCTTCTCCAGCGACTGCTCCCTCCTGACAATATGTCCAAAGTATGAGATACGAAGTTTGGCCATCTTGGTTTCCAAGGAGCAATCAAGGGTAATAGGACAGGTTTTTGTCCACTCTCTCCACAATTCCCCAAAATGGTAGTATCTCTGCTTGGGATGGAATTTTCCATTCATTTGGGACTGGAAACAGGAGAGATTCACTGGAAGTATATGAGATACGGAGTCCTGGTGTGGCACTGCAGGATAATATGCTGAACCATAAGATTGGCAGTTCAAACCCACCAGCCACTCCTCAGAAACCCTTACAGGGTCGCTATGAGTCAAATCGACTTGACAGCACTTAACAACAACAACAACATATGAGATATAATCCTAGGTGTATGTATGTATTAGAAAAGTTATAACTTGCATATCAAGTCCATGATTTCCTGAAAATTATTTTCTAGGATGATACCAACTAGTTCTTTTGGTTTTAAAAAGTAAGTTAAAGAAAAATTGTAAGTACAATAGTTTCAACATAAAGCAAATATCATGAAGCAGGTGCGAGCACAGAACCAAACCACTGACTTTCTGTGTATGTATCGGACTGACTGACTTTCTTCACACAGGTCCAGGCTTCTCCCGTCATTGCTACAACCCCCTCACCCACAGCAGTGACAGAGATTGCTCCTGGAGAAACTGCAGATGTCGTTCAAGCTGCTTCAGAACAGAGCTTCACTGAACTGGGGCTTGGATCATATACCCCAGTGGGACTGATACAGAACTTTCTGGAATTTGCGCATGTTGACCTGGGCCTACCATGGTGGGGGGCCATTGCTGCATGTAAGGGGAATGTATTCTGGGCAAGGGGAGAGGGGACAAGTCCTGGTGTCACAGTGGTTAAGCACTCAGCTGCTAACCAAAAGGTAGGCAGTTCAAACCTGCCAGCCATTCTACTCTGTTCTGTAGGGTTGCTATGAGTCAGAATTGACTTGACAGCAACTGCTTTAAGGGTAGAAGAAATGGGAACTTTAAGGGTTGAACACCTTAAAGATGGCAGTGTGTGGGTGGATCCCAGAAATAGTTGCAGAAGTTTAAAGGTTAGAAAAGCTGATGATTTAAATAAGGCTCATGGTGCTTAGGGTAGAAAAGCCGATGATTTAAGTGAATAAGTGGTGCTTGGAGGTCTATTTGAACTTCCTAAAGGTCATTATAGAATCACTGGATGATTGGAGATTCAAGACATATTGATATTTGAATGTGAGTGTGGAATTAGAATAGTTAAGTGCCATTGAGTCGGTTCTGACTCTTAGCAATCCTGTATAGAATTTCTGAGGAGCAGCTGGTGGATTTGAACCACCATCTTGTAGTTCGCAATCCAGTGCTTATACTACAGCGCCCCATCAGGAGTCCAGAATTAGAAAGAGACTTAACAGTGATGAAGCTGCCCTGATTTAGGAGATAGGGTCAGATTAGGCATTTTGCTCCACATCTGAGAAGCCATTTACATTGCTCCTTTTTGGTAAAAGGCAAAAACTATGCTTCTGTTTCTTAGTACATGTTGCTCCATTGGTTATCCCTTCTCTCTCTCCCCTTCACATTCTGTCTACCCTGAACATGTTAGTATTGCTTAAGCATACCATATATTTCTTGGAGAGAAATTCCTTTCCTTCATCCCTACGTCTCCTTTTATAGCTGCACTATCTTTATCCTTCCTTTCATAGCTTTATTTTTTAAAAAAATGGTCTGCATCCAGTGGGCCTTCTTTCTTCCCATTCAGCAACTGGCTCTTATGAATATCATTTCATTCTAATTGCTAGTGATATAACTGCTAAACCCACTTTCCTTATCATATTTGATCTTTCTGCTTTAGATGTTGAAATCTACCCCGTAGATTTATTTCTTGATATTCTTCCTGTCTTTCTAATCACACCATCCTGTTTCCATTACCTGATCCCCCATCTGTCCCTTCAATGTTGATATCCTGCTTTCTATCCTCAGCTCCCTTCTCTTCCTATTCCACATCATCCATAATGATGTTGATAAAGCCTGAACCTATTTCTACCTGGTCACTTCTCAGCTCTGACTCACATGCATGTTCTAAAGATAATATGACTTCAGTAAATGTTAGAATGGTTGGGGAATACAAAGTAGAAGAAAATAAATAGAAATGAGCTAAACTGTTAAGCACCAGGTTACCTCCAACTCCAACGATTTCTAGGACAGCAGCTTTCAAAATTCACTCCTGGAAGCCCTGTAAAGGTGTCTCTGAGCAAGGTGAAGACCAGAGCATAAGCCATCATCTGGCTAGGCTAGCTTTACCCAGAGCAACCAGATTTGATCTGTTTCATATATTTGGGCTATACTTTAGGTGAACAAAAGATTCCATTGATAATAAAACTGTTTGAAAATCATTGATCTAGGGAAATAGGCAGGATTTCTGATTATCTGCTTAGAGAAGTTAACACTACTCTGGTGTTCACTGCAGAGAACCAAACCTTGAAGGAGTTCACTATTCTTATCTCTAAGTCTGGGCCCCTTGGGCATGATAGTGTAGTAAAGGCTGGAATGAGAGACCTATTCTTCCATGAAAACCTCAAAAACATCTGTCTTCCAACAGCAGAACTGTTTTTAATTTCACTCCAATCTTGATTCTGTTTTCCAGGTACAGTCCTTGCCCGCTGCCTGGTTTTTCCTATCATAGTAAAGGGCCAGCGAGAAGCAGCCAAGATCCACAACCATTTGCCAGCGATCCAGAAGTTTTCCACTCGAATCAGAGAGGCCAAGTTAGCAGGAGACTCAGCTGAGTGTGAGTCAGTTACAGGATAAGTGTAGACCTCATTTACACAATTCTGACATTCTGCTGGAGGAAAGCAACAAGCTACAGCAGTTGTGGCTGTGTTTGGGCAACTTTTAAAGACTTAACCTGCTTCCTGGACCTAATGTTGCTAGTGACTACCCAGGGTCAAGTAGCAGTTTGGCTGGCCACATGGTGAGGATGTGCACCTCCACTGACAGAACCATTGGCCTAACTGTTAACTTCCCCTCACCTCTCAGTTTACAGGGCCTCCTCGGAGATGACACTTTATCAGAAAAAGCATGATGTGAAACTCTTTAGACCACTCATTCTACCTCTTACTCAGGTGAGCAAAATCTTTTCATCCTGAATCCATCAAAGAGGAAGCACACAGAATTTGTGTCTGCTTCTAGTGCCCTAGTTCCCCAAAAAGCTGTCAGTATTACTTATGGCTTTGACTAATAGGGTACTAAGAAATTTTCCCCTCGTTAAAGTCGTGACCTTGTTTATTCTGTCTGATAGGCTCCAATCTTCATCTCCTTCTTCATTGCATTGAGAGAAATGGCCAACCTCCCAGTACCCAGCCTGCAGACAGGTGGCCTTTTGTGGTTCCAAGATCTCACAGTATCAGACCCCATCTATGTACTGCCACTGATAGTCACTGCCACAATGTGGGGTGTCCTTGAGGTAAGCCCACGCTGGCCTGGGAAGCTGATGGCTATAGCAAACTATTAAGTACCATTAAGTCAGTTCCAACTCATAGTGACCCTGTCTAGGGTTTCAGAGGAGCAGCTGATGAGTTTGAACCACGACCTTGCAGTTCAAACTGACCTTGAAGTCCAGTGCTTTATCCTACAGCGCCACACCAGATAAAGCAGTTATGTAGAATGTAGTTGATAAGTAATTAGATCCAGACTCATTAAAATTGACATATATTTGCTATTCCTTTTGTTTCATTTTATTTTGCCAGCTAGGTGCCGAGACAGGTATGCAAAGTTCTGACCTTCAGTGGATGAGAAATGTTATCAGAGTGATGCCCCTGGTAGTCTTGCCCATAACCATCCATTTCCCCACGGTAGGTAGTGGTTGTGGAGCTGGTGCCACTTCCTAGCAAGCTAACCAGAGTGCTGTTTCTGAGTTGGTGCCACTTCCTAGAAACTAACCAGACGGCTATTTCTACACCTTCTCTTTGTCTTCACCCAGGCAGTGTTCATGTATTGGCTCTCCTCCAATCTCTTTTCCCTGGGCCAAGTGGCCTGCCTCCGGATTCCAGCTGTACGCACTGTACTTAAAATCCCCCAGCGTGTGGTGCATGACCCCGACAAATTGGCTCCACGGGAAGGCTTCGTAAAAAGCTTCAAACAGGGTAAGGGTTTCCTCTGTGAAACAGGACTGGGGGTGTGGTGTAAAAATGGCTGGAGGACTGACCTCTTTCCTGTATACACAGGCTGGAAGAATGCAGAAATTGCACATCAAATGCGTGAGCGTGAGAAACGCATGCAGAATCACTTGGAGCTAGCAGCCAGGGGTAAATATTTTTTTTCAGGCAAAATTCTACCCTTCATTTATTCCTCTCCTTTGTTCAAAATTTATTTTCTCTTCTTTCCCCAGGTCCTTTACGACAGACCTTTACCCATAACCCTCTGCTACAGCATGGGAAGAATCACCCTCCCACCGCCCCTGATGGCAGCAGCAAACCAAAGTCAAAGCAACCCTGGCGGGACACCCTTGGCTGACATCTGTTGTTCCCTGTTCATACTGGCAGGAACTTTGTCTCCTCAAAGACTGCTTCTAAGAAAAAGGCTTCTCGGTACTGGGGGACACGGAGATGCACATTTTAAAAGTGGATTCCACTCCAAACTCTTACAGCTGTGTGTAAAAGAGGACACTGGGAAGCCAGAGGTTCTTCCCGTCCACAGAATTAGTAAATCTCACACTGTATGCTGCTTTCTGATCTTTATTAAACAGGGAAATGGGTTGTATGCTTCCAAAAAGGAAGAATGGGTTTGGGGTGATTGCTCTTAATGTCCCATGGAATAACAAAGTGCCTCAAAATGTTTTAAACCAGGCTTTAAGACCATAAACTCCCACCCCATAGATGATGTATTTTTGTTACCCACATTTGCGTTGCAGTCATGGGGTATGACTAATAAGTTAAGATTTTATTGACCCCAAGCATTTCCTATAAAATTTAAGAGTAGATGTGCTCGAGTTTAGTGTTAATTAGTAAGAAAGAAAATTGATGTCATTTTTCTTAACAACCTAATATTTTACTATGACAGTTCAGATGTTCTCTTGTCTGCCTTGTATGCGAAGAGGTTGGTTACATCCACCTTCAGCAACTGGCTTGGGAAAGAAGAAATATTTGGATACTCTCAGGCATAAAATGGTTTTTTTTCTTTCTGCCAGTCTGATGGAAGCTGTTCCAAAGATGCTACAGCAGATGAAGCCACTAAAAGCTTAGGAACATATCCCCTTTATTGTCCAGCACCCATGACAGTTTCATGTCTTCTCTAAAGGAGGCAGGAAGTTTGGAGCATTATTGGCCCTTTTAAAGGAAAAGAGGAATGGGCAGACACACCCAGAGGTGAGTAACTATCTTCAACATCTGGGAATGTGCTGCTAAAACAACCAAATCCACACTTGACATGCTCCCTCCACCCACCCCACACACACACAGTCTCCTTTACCTTCCCTTAAAAAAAAAATCTGGAACACGTGTAACAAAACAAATAAATTATTTTCCATCTCTCAAAAAGCAAGTTCAAAAGGTTGAAGCTGCCTTGAACAGGCATCTGCATAAGTGCCTCCAAAGAAGTGGATTTTCCTTTACTTCCTTGGCTCCAGCCAGTAGGAGACTAGGTCCCTGTTTACATCTCAGGATTCACAGTGGTATTTAGTTAGACTTTGGATCTCCTTCCTTGGGCATCTCTTCACTATCTTTCAAGTCCATCTCTGCAGCAACTGACATACATAGGACTTGGAGGTACCTTGTGGTAGACGCTGTAAAAAGAAATTTGAGTCAAAACTGGGAAGAAGTTGACTGAGTTCAAGTAGCATGGAATGGAGAGGAGAGGGAGGTGATGAGTCCATTAAACCACAGGGCTAATAACTGAAAGGGTCACTGGCAAAAAAAATAGCTGCACTCACTTACAGAGCCAAGACTTACCCACAATCCTTCGGAGACAAAGAGGTCGTTTGCCTTCAGGCACTCTGATGATGAGGAAGTAAAAGGGCAAGCCTGAGAGGGCAATGCTAATGCCGATGAGGGAGTTGATTGTATCACTGTAAAGTGGAACAGCCACCAGGAAGATGGTGCAGAGGCAGAAGACAATGGGGAAGAAAAGGCTGAGCTAAGAGCACAGAAAACAACTGGATATTAGACAACTAGTGATTCTTGGCCCAGATAATCCCACCTCCCATGAAGATCAACGCACTGAACTTCATTTCTACCACTTCATCTCCACACCCCCACCAAGCAAAGGTTTCTGAATAAGCTGTTATTAGGATCTGCGTATATTAGCAGTTACATATGAAGCAGAAATAATCATCAAGCTGAGTTACCTTGAGGGGACGAGGCCGATCAGGCTCTTTTTGCCGCAGATAAAGCTGGCCCACGATAGAGAGCCCCACAAAGAACCAATAGCTGAAGCTATAGTAGTTAATGAGCTGGAAGATGTCCTTCACACACAAGTAGATTAATGCCATGATACCCTGTAAGTACAAACCCAAGGCATCTCCTGTCACATAGCCTTTCGTTTTCAAGGCACTTTGCTCTTCTTTATCCCTCGTGAAGTCCTAAGAGTCTTTCCTGTGTTCTTTTTAAGCCCCTTTAAACCTTTGCCAAGTTAACCTATAAAGCACAACTCAGAATTACCCCTAAAACTTTTTGCCTGACAACTCTTCCATAATAGCTCCAGCCTGCGATTGCAACTTTTATTTCGCACTACCCAACTCCAGGATTGTAAGATAAGCACTAGGCTGCTAACCACAAGGTCAAAAGTTCAAACCCACCAGCCGCTCCTCAGAAACCCTATACAAGGTCACTGAGTTGGAACACTCAACTCCATGCTACTTTGCTGCCTCAGGATCTTCTGATGTTTCTTTTATCCATCTCTACCATTTGTAACTGTAAGCTTCAAAATCCACTTCAAATGTGCTTCCTTAAGAAGCTGCTCCTTATTCACCCTCTACCCCTCAGGAAGACCTGGTGGGGCGCTGTAGGATAAGCACTAGACTGCTAACCCCAAGGTCAGTGGTTCAAACGCACCCCCTAGTCCTTGGAAATCCTATACAGGATTGCTATGAATCAGAACTGATTCCACGGCACTTAACAACTAACCAAAAGGTAAGTCATTCAAACCTACCAGCCACTCCTTGCAAATCCTACACAGGGTCACTGAATCAGAACCAACTCAACAGCACTTAATAACCACCGCATCTCTGGAAGTGATTATTTTTGCTTTTGAATACCACACCATTCTCTACTTTACATGGTAATCATTCCTTGTACTACTTTATGCCTTATCTTAAGACTAAAGAAAGTTACCATTCAGAATGAAAGGTATTCTTTCTTCGTAACTACTGTTACAAAGCACAGTGTCATGCACACAGTATCTCTCCTAGAATAGTCACATCTGCTATTCTAAAGTCCCCCATCCTCTCCCCCGACCCCTCAGGACTTCTTTTGCTTTCCACCTCATTCTTGAGCCTACTTACATTGAAGAGCAGAGAAGGTATTGGTGTGAACCGCTCAACATGAATCATGCAGATGGCATCAGGTAGATGGCCTTCTCTTGAGCCCACAAAGAAAAGCCTATTTTAAGTTTAAAAAAAAAACAACTATGAAATTGTGACCATGATACAGCCTGGTTGACCTGCCACTCTCCTACCCCTCTCCCATCCCTTCTTCAAAGGAATTTGAAGGATATAGAAGTGAGAATTGGAGGCATCCAATAGAAACAAGAAGAGGCTGTGGGTACATTTGGGGGATACAGGTGTACAGTCTGAGCCCTGTAAGTCCTAGTATCCTCTGCAGTTCCTCCATACAATACTCCCCAGCCAAACACAGCACTTTTACCTAGAGGCAGCCACAATGGAGGCATTGAGGCCACCAAAGCAGGATAGGGCAACTGCTAATGGAATTGTCCAGTTGAAGATGCCAAAAATCTGGTCTGCAAAAGTCTAAGGGAAAGGAATGGAAAAGAGTCATTAGCCGTGGTTGAAAGTCATGAGTATGCATGCCCCAGATTCCCTTTATTGGAACCCAGCCCTTCCACAAAGAGTTACAGGACCTTTCAAGCCCAGTATCCTTAGTGTATCCCTTCGAGGCTGTATACCCCCTTTCCAGGACTTCCAAGAGCTAGGATATACCCAAAAGCCCACAAGCACACTCCCAGTCTCTTGTTAGTCCAAGTCCTTTACCACAGCAACAGCTTCACTGGCCAGGATGTCTTCCATGTCCAGCACGGTGTAATAGGCCACATTGGTCAAAATGTAGATGATGGTGACAATGGGCATGGAAATGCCAATGGACAGGGGTAAGTTCCTACAGCCAAACAGGATAAAGGACACTTTAGTCCCAGTCCCACCCCATCTGTCTTTTAATGTCCTGGTTTGGTGCTATAGGATAAGTATTGGACTGCAAACCATAAGGTTGGCAGTCCAAACCTACGAGTCACTCCAGAAACCCTTTACAAGGTCGCTGAGTCGGAATCAACTCAACATCACTTAACATGCCAACATTCCAGGGATGGGCTTTCTGCTATAATTCTCCAGTGCCTTTGCCTCAGATAGCCTAGGATATTGGCTGAATCCCTGAGGCTCTGAACTCATAAATCAAAAATCATTCAGAGAAAATCCACAAAGAGCTACGTCACAGCACAGTAATAGGATAGGAAGATAGGAGGTTTCCTTGTTTTTTTACATCAAAAGATCTCAGTGTCAGTATCCCTTTTTTTTTTTTTTTTTTTTTTTTAAGACTTAACAACAGAAAATCTGTCTTAAGGTTGGAAGATATAAAAAGAAACAATGAAGTCTAACATCTGCAGGGAATGATAAAGGCCCTCAGTAGGAAGAACAGTCTGTGTCTGAACAAGCAGCCTGGGAAATAAATATGTTCACTACACCGCTGTCTCAGTCTGAGAACCATGGGTGCCATCCTAACTGGAAGCTGAGAGAGACAATGATGTCTCAAGATTCCTCTAACCCAACAAACACATAATTAACAGTGAGACAGTCAAGAAAAAGGGGTGTTATTGTTTGCCGTGGAGTCAGTTCCGACTCATAGTCGGACTCTGTACAGGGTTTCTGAGGCTGTAAATCTTTTACAGGAGCAGAAAGCCTCATCTTTCTCCCATGTAACAGCTGGTAGTATCAAACTGCTGACCGTGAGATTAGCAGAGCTCTTGGTAGCATAGGGGTGTTGTTGTTGGGTACTGTGGAGTCAGTTCCGACCCATAGTGACCCTGCACAGAGTTTCCGAGGCTGCAAATCTTTACAGTAACAGAAAGCTTCATCTTTCTTCTGCAGAATAACTGGTAGTTTTGAACTGCCGACCTCGAGGTTAGCAGCCCGATTCGTAACCACTATGCTACCAGAGCTCCTTTAGCATAGGGGTTGTTGTTGTTAAGTGCCATTGAGTCGATTCCGACCCATAGCGACCCTGTATAGGGTTTCCAAGGAGAATCTGGTGAGCTTGAACCACCGACCAAATACTCTCAAGTCATTCAGCTTTTTCTCCAGTAGGTGGAAGCACCACCCAGGCTGGGATCCTGTTTATTTCTCTATTCCCCAAGGTTGCAATACTGGCTGTTTACCAAGACTGTTGTTGTTTCTCAAAACCAAAAGGGGTTTACTGATATGATCATTGTTAGTCCTTTGACTTAAAATTTTAGAAAAATTCCACTCCCTGGCAAATCTTTGTTCCCAGAGGCAGAATTTCAGAGCCAGGAAAGACCCTGGAGATTATATCATTCAAACCCCACCCACCCACCGACCCAACTACAGATTAGGAAGCAGGCAAAGAGATGGTGAGTAACTCCTCTCAAAATCACCAGCTAATCTGTGAAAAGACAGATGCCAAGCCCTTGTCCTGTGGAGTCCACAATACAAAGACTCCCTGTCCACTGACCTTTTCACCCTGAATGAATACAGAATAGAGTAACACTGGAGAGGTGATGCAGTTGAATCACTGAAATAATACCACAGTGTCAGTGTGAATTTGGAAAATTAAGGAATCCATTCGATAGGAAGGTTTCTGGAAATCTATGGCCTAAAGTTGTAGGTGAAAGATCTATCACAAAAGAGCTATACAACAGCATCTACAATCTAGAAATAAAATCCTACATCTATGATTTTTTTTTAAAAAAAAAGCATGCACGAGACAGTTTACATCTCAGCTCTAGTTACTGTGTGACCATGGACAAGTTACTTCTCTGGCCCTCAGGTTCTCCATCTTGTAGAATTGTTAAGTTCAGTCAAGTCGGTTCCGACTCAGCAACATTGTCTAGGGTTTTCAAGGAGCAGCTGGTAAGTTTGAGCTGCTGACCTTGCAGTTCAATCCAACCTTGCTGTCCATTGCTTATCCTACAGTGCCACACCAAGACTCCACCTTGTAGAATTAGGCTAGGACTGATGAAATGGATCTCAGCAGTCGTGTGCTGCCTGGCACAAGGTAGGAGCTCCATAGATGATACCTATCATCATTGCTGTGGAAAGGTGATAGGAAGTACCTACCTTTCAGGATTCTTGATCTCTTCAGTGACATAGTTGAGGGTGTCCCAGCCCGAGTAGGAGAACAGTGCTGAGTACAGGGCCAGGGCAATGTCACCCATCACATACGATGAACCCTCAAATGAATTCTCAAAGTGAGTTGAGGCTCCTAGAACCCAGGGAACATTGGAAGGCAGAAGGATTAGTGACGCATCTCCCCAACTTCAAGGTGATCCAGTAAAGAAATAGAAGAATATATCATACCAGCAAATAAGTAGCTTAGAACACTTTCAGTAACAAGGGTAGCGGTGAAGGAACAGGTAGAAGAGATATCTACAGAGATGGGCTGGAATGGAGGGAACGGCATGGGGATCTTGGGGTCACTTTCAAGGATAAGAAGTCATCAGGGAGCAGAAGGGCCGTGGCACAGAAGTGATGCAGCTCAGTCTGAACCCTTTCTGACTCCTTCCCCATTCTAACTCCAGACAGAACTGTATGGGGTAAAGAGAGGGAAAGCTCAACATACCCAGGCCAACAGAGTATCTGTCATAAGTGCCATTGAGTCGATTCCGACTCACAGCAACCTTGTATAGGGTTTCTGAGGAGCAGCTGGTGGATTTGAACCGCTGACCGTGTGGTTCAAACTGACCTTGTGGTCCAGTGCTTATCCTATACCACCACATCTATCAAATAAGCTCATGAAAATTAAGAGATATAATGTACAAAAAGCACTTAGAAAAGCATGACTAAGAAAATGCTTCACAAAGTTAGCCGTTGTTATTATTTCTTACCCTGGCCAAGTCTAACAATGCCTGCAATGATGACCGCAATCAGCGCCAATACTTTAGCATAGGTGAAAATATCTTGTACCAGCGTTCCCCACTTGACATAGGCACAGTTAATGAAGGTTAAGATACCTGAAAGAAAAAGAACACTGATTGGTAACTGACCCTGTCACCCAGAAGGCATTAAGCTCCCAAAAAATTTTCCAGTACCAGCCATGAAGAGCTCCAGAAATGTCCTCACCATTATCATTCAAAAGCACTTGGAGACCACCTGTGAACGCAGCACAGGAGCATCAACAGCAGTACCCACTTTATATGGGAGATGTGAACCAAAGTGACTATGGATCTGCTTGCATACAAAAGTGTACTCAGTCACAATCACAGCAGTGGGAAGCAACTGGTGATTATACTGGATTAGTAATATGTTCCTAATTTTCAGGCTGTTGACTTTGGAAAGTCATGGTGTCTCTGTTTCCCGGGCACCCTGGGCTCCACAAGGCAGCACACTGACTCTGCAGTGTTATTGCTGAAGTTGTTAACCTTGATGAGTCCTGTTGTGATTTATCCAATGTCTGGGCCAGCAGGTCAGGACGTGTGGCCAAGGTTTAGGATGGGGCCAGACTTCCTGCCCACTCACCAACTGCCAGCTCAGCTACTTGTTTTCATGCTTGGAAAGATTCCTGAAACTAAGAAAGAGGCCTGCAAAATGGGGAGAGGGCATTTCTCCTGGCCAAACAATGCCGACGTAAACGCAACAAACGTTCTTCAAATCCTTCTAACCTGGAGTACAAGCCAACCCCTTTCAACCTGAATGGGTTTTAGTAAAGTTTATGGATCAACTTTTAGAGTCACGGTTTTAAACCTAGGGTCACAAGTTTCACAAACCCCTGAAATTCTTTACAAAGTGTTATGTCGAGAGTATATGCATTTTTTTTCTAAGAGAGGAGTCCATAGCTTGCAACAGAACTTCAGAGAAATGCATTTTCCCAAAACCAGTTACCAACCACTACTTTGAAGAAATTCAAAGAAAGCCCACACAAGCTGTGAGGTTGACCAATAGTCCCAGAATGTGGTAGGGAAAAAAAAAGAAACAACTCTGAAACTCAGCAGAATGTTCCTTGAATCCCCTTCCAACCTCTTAAGCAGTCAAGCAGGCATATTACAACACACCTTCCCCAGTGGTGGCAGATTGAATCGCTTCATTGAACTATAAGGATGACTTAACAGTCTTTCTTCCAAGAACTCCAAAGAGGTCAGAGTCACCTTGCCTCATCAGTAGAGAAACAGCATCCCAGTACTGGGCTTGCCTGCTTCAGGCCACCAACACAGTAAGTACTCCCTGTCTCAGAAATGGTTCTTGGTATCCCCGGTCCTCCTGTTGTGTTCTGACCTCATCACACTCTGGCCAGAGACTACTTCATCCTTTGAAGTAGGAGAGATCAACCTGTCAGAGCAGCTGTCTCATCTTCTAGCTCTCACTCTCTCTTATGCTCTCCTGTTCTACTTAAATAGAATGTCCAAGTTCTTTTCTGTTCTTCCCCAAAAAGGATATTCCTGTCCTATACAAACACTTGCCTTTCTGCCCAATAAAATAATAAAGAATCAAATCTTATCACAGGGCTGGGCCAAAATGCACCCATAACTCTAAGCCACCATGGTACTAAGTTAATAATTAAAAACACACGTGTCCAGCCCCCACAAAATGACCAAAGTATCTGTATCTTGCCCTCCACAAATCTTTCAAATCTGTTGATTCCCCTCAGCCTAGCCTTTACTCCCTGCTGGACTTCTGCCTCTAGCCATCCAACAACCTTCATATTCCTTCTCTACCGCCTCCTGCACAGGCTCTATAAGCCAGATTTCTGATAAGATAGGCCAGAGAAAACTGAGGCTGCCATATTCAAGGCTTTCTGCTCCCATAAAGACTTACAGCCTCAAAAACCTTATATAAGGTCAGAACCGATTCAAAGGCAAAGGCGTGCCACAGGTTGTTTTCTGCTCTGTCGTGAGAGCTGAGCATACACCCATCATTACGCCTCCTGCCCTCATTCCTGAGCCTTATTTCTCAGCTAGTGACCCACCATCATGCTCTAATCTGTTCTCTGTAATGAGCACAGGAACTCACTTGAATTGAAATAGGGGGTCCTGTGTCCCCGGGAAGAGAGAGAACTGCATGAAGAGAACTTCCTCCAGGGTCTGTACATGGTGGGAGTGGGAAATGGTCTGGCCAGCAGCAGAATAGGCTTTCTCCCTACTCTGGGTGGATACAGCTGACCACTGGCCCCAGAGCCCAGTCAAGTATGCTGCTCTTGAAGTGGCTGGAGCCTAACCTTCTGCTTCAGAGGTAGGGACAGGAAGGGACTATGGGGTTAAAATAATATAGAGGCCACAGTCAAGTTAACTTAAAGGACAAAGACTTCCTACCTTCCCAACCCTAGGTACAATTCAGTCCCCACCCAACACTGGGCCAAGTCCACAGCAGGATGGTCAAGGAATCAACTTTGACCCTTGACTCAGGTGCAGCTCCATTCCCAACCCCAGGGAGAAGGAGAAGCTGTAAGACAAAGTGTAATCACATAGAGACACTCCTGAATGGATCATCAAGGCCAGCTACACAGACTCTCCTAGAGTTGTTGACTAGTTCTGGTACTAGGGCCCAGAATCAGTAATCAAACTAAAAGCGAGGGAAATACTGAGCTAAGTTGATCCAGAACAGAACGCATCCAAGCCCAGACTGGATCAGATGTCCAGTTTTTGTTTAGATACCTAAACACCATTCTCCTACCATTAGCAAAACACAAAAACCTCAGACTACTGTTTAATCTATCTTCTACTTCATATTCCCATGGACTATAAAATCTCCATACTTGAGGAACAAACAAGATGGCGGATTGGGTGGACGTATAGCAGAGAGCTCTGCCAACAACAACAACACAGAATACCTGACCAAGCAGGTTCAGGGAATGGTTCCAGAACTCTGAAACACATATAAAGGAAAACTTAGAAGGTTGGAAGGCTCACAGCTGGGGGAATTTGTGGCAGAAGCAAGCAATCTATTGCTTTCTAGTCCGTGATGCTCAGCTGCTCCAGGAGCCGCCATCTTGGGTAAGACCACGTGGGGAAAGGTTCTGAGCTGCCACAGACGCCTGGCAGAACTGCTGAGATAAAGTTGTGGACATTCTTTTCTTTTGGTATCTGTTCATTGGTC